GGAAAGGAAAGGAAAGGAAAGGAAAGGAAAAGGAAAAGGAAAAGGAAAAGGAAAGGAAAGGAAAGGAAAGGAAAGGAAAGGAAAAGGAAAGGAAAGGAAAAATCTCTGATATCACCAGGATTTTTTCATGCTTCCTTTCTGTGTTACCATCTGTCTTGAACTCTTGCTCCACTTTCTGTAATTTCTCCTCCATCTCTTTACACTGCACGCCTTTTTCTCACTCCTGCCTGTCGCAGCCACTGTGTCTCTCTAACATTCATCTTTCTTTCTGCCAGCTCCCCTCTGCTTTCTGTCTGCAGCCCTGCCTCTGCCTGTTTCTCTCATTATAACCATCACTTGGTTTCATTCCCTCCCTCTCGCTGCTTTTCTTGTCCATCTTCCTCCTCTTTACTGAAAAACACCCACCTTGCTCCCTCTTCCCTCCGTCTGTCCTGAGTAAAGGTTGCCTGTCATTACAGATGGAGGCGTCGGCCTGACAAAGGTCAGAAACTTAGACAGAGATGCTTAGAGACGAGCTCAGCAGGTGTGTCGGTTCACGTCTGCGCTGCAGGGCAACCTTTTACCTGAGTCCATCAGACGGGAACAGAGGAGGAGGACCGTCTGGGCGGCAGGTGAAGGGTCGGACTGTGAACTTAAACCCTCTTTTTTTTTTTTCCTGATCTTTGCAGGCTTGTCAAGCGATTTGTAAAATATTTTACCAGTTCTATCACTTGAGTTGTTGCGCTTGAACCGAAGTAATCATGTGCATCACAGTCATACTTTGGGTTTGCTCTGTTTTCCTTGATTTAATGACCAACTGTAAGAAAATTAATTAAGCTAAAGCTGGGTGGAAGCAATCAGGTTAGCTCTGCTCAGCCTGAGGCTAAATGGCTAAATGTTTCCTTGTGTATCAGTTTACCCTCCTTGATTTCGTTACAGCGCTGCCCACTCCCCAAATTTCCTCTAAGTTGCAGTTGCGTAAAGCAGCTTGTTGGTTATTGTTATGATTATTTACCTACAGCTTTGTGTACTATGGTTATATTTTCCGATGTGGTAATCTCTAAATTAAATATTTCTGTTGCCTCCACTGACAATTCAAATCCTCTGACAGCAAGTATCTGCCAATTACAAACCCTACTCAGTACCGCACACCTCTGTGGGGCATCTAACTTAATACAATTCATATAATATGGCTGCATCTCGACTTAAAACTTCTGCATTACAGTTCAACTTGTTATGTTTCTACAATGTGAATATTAAATATTTTTTGTTGTTTTGTTGTCAAAATCCAAGTTCGATAGTGCCTTAAAAGGGCAGCAAAACAAAACAGGCAAGTCGTAAAATCATCAGGTTTCAAGACACAATTTGGTGTTTAAGAACTAGCAAAGTGTTGAAAGAGGAAAAAAAACGTTTTAAAAGAAATGAAAGATGATTTAAGTAAAAATCAGGAAAGCCTTTCTGATAAAAGCATGTCTTAAGCAGAGACTTAGAAGAAGTCACTGACAAACTAATCTACATAGATTATAACAGAGCCTCCGGGCTACAAAAAATCCCCCATTTTCAGCTAAAATGTCTAAAGACCTCTGCCCAATATGGTACTAAGAGGTCAGACATACTGCTGGAAGAGAGGCCATGAAGGGCCTAAAGGTTATATTTATATTAAAACATAGCAGGGGCCATGTTGGAGGTAAGAGCTGAGTTCTGTACAGTCTGGCATCCATCAACAGATTGTATTTGTTTAGGCAGATAAAAATGCTGCTGAAGTAATCCAGGCGTGACGAGACAAAAGTGTCACAGTCAAAAAGTCACTGTGTCTTCAAAAGTTAAGATAGATCATAGTTCTTAATATATTTCTAGGATTATAACAGCAGGATTGTACAAACTTTTTTGGGCAGTGCTAAAAACTTAAGATTACTGCCAAACTAGATGACAAAGTTCTTTGCAACAAGCTTAAGTTGATGCAAAAGGAAACCAGCTGATGTCAGAATCTGCTGTGACCCAACAACTCTGTTCAAATCTGATTTCAGTCCAATTTTTGACATCACAAAGGCAGTCATTCAGAGAACAGCGCATACCAGGCTCTGAGGATCTAAAGGGCAGGGTGTCATCAGCATAAAATAGAACACCACATTGTTAAATAGTATGAACAATTAAACACATGCAAAAAGAAAACAAAATCGGTCCCAAAACTGAGCCCTGCAGTACACCACACCTAACAAATGGAGGATGTTCACAAGTTACAAAACCTCCTATTTGACAGATATGATGAATAAGACTGTACTGAGGTACAAGTACACGGACTGAGCACATGCCATCGTCAGCTGCCATTAATCAATCAATCAATCAATAGTACTTTATTAATCCCTTACAGAGAAATTCCATATACAGAGAAAAGGTTATCGGTAACCGTGAGCGGTGCTTTCTCAGGATGATTTGATAAAGTACAGCAGCTGTAGAAATCACCGTGTTAAAGGAAAGCAAGTCTGTCTGTAAGAGAGACCACGTAGTTGATTCAATTCATTTTGACTGTCAACTAAATTTTACATCTGAAAACTCACAAGAAGAGATTCAAATGTTGATTCAACTTAAGTTCTTAGAAATATTTAATGAAAAAATAAGATGCCAAAGAGCAAAGAAAAAAAAAAATTATCCAATAAGCCTAATAATGCTGCCTCACTGGTCAGGTTGAAAGAAGTTATTACCACCTTACAAAACACTGGCAATTAAAATGCTGCAACTATATTGTGCTGTAAGATGTGGATAATTTCTATTTATGACTCACTGGAAAGCTAGTGTGTGCCTAATGTTTACTAATGTGCATTTTTAATGATTCAGCTGAAGTGCATATATAAAAAGCAGGCAAAACATGAATTAAAATGACCCCAGTGAATATAAAGTACTGCTAAGACTACCTTCAACACTATAAATTAATTAATACAAGAGTGTGTAATGTGTTTATTATTGGCTTCTTGCTCACCTTCTTTAGCGGGTGGGATGGTGGGAGGAGGCTCTGTGGTGGGAGGTTCGGTCGGAGCCTGAGTGGGCGCCGGCACTAGAAACACAGACACACGGGAAACCAAGAAAAGGTCATAAATCACGACGGCAGTGACGAGTAGCACCATCATGCTGTCTATCTGCCCACCACAAACACACAGTAAATAAGCTGACACACTGAGAGACAGCGGCAGCCTGGTTCTGTTAAGCTGAAAGTTTCCTAATCCTCCTCTTTCCTCCAACAACTGAACCCTTTACAGACACTAAAAAAAAAAAAAAGAAGAAGATTTCGGGTGTAATCTGTACTTACAACCTCTAGCGGTCTAGCTGCCGTGTCTTGGTTCAGTCTATCTTTCTGTCCATCACTGACTTACATCACGCTTGATCTTTCTGCATTTGTTCAATTTAAACTGAGGGACAGCAAAAGCTCTATTTTTATTGTCCATCTAGAATCTGTCTGACCAGAGGATGTGTTCATGAGTCAAACACAGCCTCAGGTTGAGGTTGGCCTCAGTGTTGAGCCTATTACCTTTTAAAAATCAGTGGGTTCTGTCAAACCAGAGTACAGTGAGTTAATCATCTTGGAAAGATCAGCGACTGCACAATAAAGAAACACGTACAACATCAAATAAATCAAATGGAGGGCCACTACTCTGAAGAAAGACGTTTATATTGAGTGAGTATTTAAAAGGTTAGCATGTGCTAGGTTCACTGTCTCTCTTGCTTCTTCTCTTTCCTCCACATCAGGCGATTGGTATAAGACACTATTATGGATAAACAATTTAGGGAAAATGTGTTATTGTGATTCTTCTGACAGATACTGCAATTTGTTTTGCAAAATCATTTCTTAAAGTACGGAAGCCGAGAGCGGTCATGGCCGCACATTTTTTTCAACGGCGTTCGTTTTCTCGAGATAGCAAGATAATTATCCCGTTGACAGTTCCGGCTGTCACTTCAGCCTTCATCAGAAGTTGTCGGACTTCCTGGTGTGACGTATTTTATATAGACAGCTGACCGGGAACTCCGACATGACGTGTCATGAGAACAGCTGACCGGGCACGACAACTTACAATGAAGCGCTGAATCCCAGGTGTGTGGGAGGTCCCACACACCTGGGATTCCATCCTGGACCGGGCACGAGCGGGCAAACACAAACACCAATTATCTCGTTATCTCGAGAAAACGCTTCTTGTTATCCCGAGATAGCGTGAAAATTAACTCGTTATCTTGAGAAAACGGTGAAGAAAGAACAGTAGCGGAAAACGACCGCTCTCGGCTTCCGTAGTAAAGTCTTCAATACATAGTTAAATATTCTCCATTTAATGCATATAAACATGTGATGGAGCATTACCACATGAAATGCCACCAAAGAGGGGACAAACATGACTCTGAATCCTGGGTCACATGTATAATATAAATCCTGAATTGCAGCTGTTGCGATTTGCTAATTGCATGGTTTCCATTTCAATTTGGCATTGAATAATTTATCAGTCCTGGAGAACATGCTGAGAAATTACCGTGTGAAACAGTAAGAGCCGTTTGTTTGCCCATCTACAGAGCTACTGCTGTGTACGAACACCAGCAAACAAACAGAATGGACAGTGAAGGAGATAGTCACTGAATCTGATTAAAAGTATTAATTTAGAACTGCTGACTCCCACACAGTAATGTTGTGGTGACAGAAAAGATTCAGTGGAAATCACTGAGCTCAGAACTGGTTCATGTCATGTTCCCTCATTTTCAGTTCAATTCAATTCAACTTTATTTCTATAACATGTGTCATCTCACAGCGCTTAACACAGTAAGGTGAAGACCTTGTGAATTTTTAACAGAGAACCCAACAATCCAAAGCTGCCTTTGGTTCCTTCTCTCAGAGCAACAGTGGGAAGGAACCAAAAGAAAAAAAAACCAACAGAACCAGGCTCAGGACAGGTGGCCACCGGTTGGCGTGAGAGTGCAGATTTTATTTTAAACAGTATTGTTAAAAAACTATTAAACTGAGCGCTTCAGTAGAAGGCAACTGGACTTCTCTTTTTGGTTCTTAAAGATGCTTCACCTCTCATCGAAGAGGCTTGATGGCAGAACTGAGGAAAATTTGAGGTTTACAATGAGATGAATGACTGAGGATCTAAGCAGACATAAAACTTTTAATTCCAAAAACATGATACCAGCCTAAGCAGAAGAAGTTTATAACTATACTTCAGTACAATTATGTTCTCCTGATGGATTTGAGCTTTCTGTGATTGAGTCTTCGTTCTCTTTAGGGACACGAGACACCTGAATTTGCACCCAAAATGTTGTCCAAACTTTCATTTATAATTGCCAAAGCAGCTTTCATGATTCAAGTGGATTAAACAAAAAAAAAACTGCAAAAAAAGCATCCTGAAACATCGAAACGCTGGTTCATGTCGGAATAATACTGTCACAAGACCCCTGTGTTTGGTGAAATGTTGTAGCTGTAGTGGGATTTTTACTGTATAGACAACAGACATGGCAGATTTGTGTTGTATTAACATCACAGAAGACCGCTGAAATAATTATAAAACACTAGAAATCACAAGATAACAGTCGTCCCGTGGAAATAGAGGTAAAAGTTGTGTTTCTAACTGATTCTTCTTACCCTAAAGACAAACAGTACACTTTTTACTTCTTCTTTCCACATTTGTCAGACAGCTATAAGTTAAAATGAGCTTCCTTCCCACCAGCTACAACATAAAAATCCTGGTTACGTGTTTCAGTAATGATTACGAAATATCGCAATATATCTCTTAAAGCGACTATTTTGCATAATCGCTACATTTAGTTTGGATAATTACGTCCACTTTCCTCAGGATACTTTAAATGAAGAAAAATTTTAACATTTCTTCGCTTGTCTGTGGACCTACAACGACTGCTGAAGCCAAACTGTTGGATTTAATCACATTAGTGTGAATGTGTGTGTCCGTGGGAGCCCAAATCTATCTATTCATCCATCTATAACCCTGGTTGTGAGGTGAGTCCTCCGAGGCCCCGGAGCTGTGCAGTTCACCTCAGCTCATCAGCTGACCAATGAAGTGCAACAGCAGAATCTATCTTCTCGGAGAGGGAAGGATGAAGAAAGTGAAGAAGGATGGAGGCAGAGGAGAAAGTTGCAGAGGTGAGATAGATGTGCGGCAGAAGGTGGCTGCAGGGGGGACAGATGGAGGAAGAGGCTGGACGGAGGCTGGGAAGATTAATTGGGGAAGATCAGGGACGGAGGGAGAGAAAACAGAGAAGAAGGAAGTGACAGTGGATGAGTGTATAAAGAAAAAGAAGAAATAGAAAGGTTGAGTATCGGTCAACCAGAGTTAAAATGTTGATGAAAAATGGACCAGTTAACTATTGGACATGAGAACACAAATATAAACAGGATGTAAAACCAACATACGTGTCATGTCAGTGATGGAGACGGAGGGTCCCTCCATTTCCTGTATTTGTGTGTGAACGCTGATCTGGTATTGGCTGCTGGGAGTGAGGTCATAGAAACACTGCCGGGAAGCTCCGCCCCCAAGGCTCATCTCCTGCTTCTGATCATCTGCAAGAAAACAACGAATCAGAAACTTGTGAAAGAGTCAAATGAACTTCTTCACTCTCAGCCATGTTCTGTATCCCAGTTCAGCCTGAATGCTGAAGAACAATCAGAGTTTTAACATGCTTTGCTCAAAGGCTGTGAACTGGTGAAGCACGTGTGTGTGTGTGTTTGCACTACTCTGCACATTTTCAGATCATCTGCTAAAATCTGCTCACTAACTGTACATAAATACACTCTAAATATGCATGTATACATTGTTTTACTGTATGAACTCTCTGAACCCCAAAACCTGCTGGAGGGTTTGAAACATGTATTATAATATATATTTTAAGTTTTCAGAGCCAGAACCCGTAAAAACAGAACAAAACACATCACACACAATTTTCTGACAGTCCTTTAACTATCCATGTGTGATGTGCAGTTTGTATTGTCAGTTGTTCACTCTAAGCATAAAATAATGATCTTCTGATTGATCACAACTGAACAGCAATAAGTCACTCAGACAATAATCACGTGACAAAGGTTCTGTGATTTCTGGATTGAACTGCAGGATGTGTTAACATGGAGCAGACAGGAAACAAGCATGGAAACACAGTGAGAGCGAAATAAAACCTACATAACATGATTGCAGCAAAATTAGAGAGGGCCAAGTTGTCAGGAAATTGTCAGAACATACATTTAGCATGGTGACATATCTTTTTAGAGTTAATGTGCAGAGCAGAGTGAAAAATGTCTCGTTTGTTGATTTATAAAGCTGAATATTTCTCACATGTATAAGCATCAGTTTTGTCAACTATTGATAACCGTGGAGATTTGGAACAATGTGGTTCATATTGAGTGGATGTTTTCTATCAATGTTTGTAAAATATTGAATATTTGTCCATTTAACTGCGTTTTCCTGAACAGAAGACGTCTCTGAGTTCTGTCTACGTCTGGTCATAGTTGTGCTTTTTCCATAGAAATGCAGTAAAAAAATGAGACAAAAATGAGTGAACTAGGACGGAAGTAAGAAACTAGAAAGAAATTAGTGTAAATTAATACATGTTTGGCAACGGAAGGTAGAATTTAGGGCAAATAATGTCCGTATTTAGCTCAGTTGAAGCTTCACGTTGTTGATTTTCTCGATACATCGAACTCCTTCGGTCTGCGGCAGATTCATCACAAATGAATGGAGCATGACAACAAACACAAGGAGACCGACTGCAGCATGTGCAGCTTTATTCATTGATTGCACCTAAATTAAAGTAACCAAAGAAAATAGAAAACACTTTCACATCCACTGAAAAAAAATGAAATGAATCGCAGTATTGATTTCTTTTCTCTTCTCTTGACAATTTCCTCTGGATTGTAGACGGCAAATACTTCCAATTTGGTGTTTATTTTGCAAAGCGGTAGAAGGACGGGATCACAGGGAAAAGGGAAAGAGAATTTATATTGGCAGTCAGAAAGGGACAGAGTGGAAACTAGAAGCTTACATATACAGTACACACTCTAATGGCTGTCATTTGTCAGTTTCATTAGTCTAATTCTATTTCCTAATGTGTCTCTCATCTTGGAGAGTGACAAATTAGCTCCTCCTCCTCCTCAGAGGAAGCAGCCATAGATAATAGAGTTTAGGGAAACAGCTGTCACTGAGACTCTACACTTTTCCATCTGAGAAGGTGTTTAAGCAGCTGGTTGGCTCTGCGTGGATTAAAGCAAATCTCTAAACTGAACATCCAGCCACCGCTCGGGCAGCAGAGCGACGGAGATAAACAGAACAGGAGGAAGGTGGAGGAGAGAAGTCGTCCTCCTTCGCTTTAACGCGTTTCCTTCCAGCACTTTAATTCATGTCTGTGATCGCTGCATTTATCAGCCAACCCTCTATTTTCACATTTACTTGAATCAACACTAACTTCCACCGGAGCATCACTGCAGGAACATACTTTAAAAACAGAGCTAACCTCTCATAGAGGCCTTGTTTTCTGTTATTCTGTTATTAATAGCAGCTGCGTTGAATTCTACCCCAACATGCTGCTTCACTGACACACCGAGCAGAAACAGCCTCATTGTTAATGTCATAGGCTCACCTGTGTTTACCCTCATTTACAAAGTCTGCTATCAATTATGTTTTTTACTGAAAAGCATCAATGGGACACATACAAGGATCATTTTAAGCTTAATGACCCATTTCTTTGAAAAAAAAAAAAGTTTGATTCTCGTTTAAAGCAGTCAACACCAAATTATTAAATTTGTTATTTTTGTTTTGCCTTTGTTAGGACAGGACAGTTGAGAGAGAGACAGGAAAGTGGGGGAGGAGAATCGGGGAAGGACTTGCAGCAAAGAGTCATGAGCGGGATTCGAACCTACGACCACTGTATCAGCCCCTTTACGTGGGTCGCCAGCTCAACCAGTGACCCCAAATTATTACATTTTAGGTGGAGCTACAGTTTCTTAAATTTCCAGTGTATTCTTGTAACATTCCTATAGGGATTTTCTCCGAGTTTAAAAGGTGGAAAATATATATTTTTAACAATTACAATTTAAATAAAGTATTAACATGGTGGAAAACAACTATTTGCTACACTATAGGAAAAAAAAAAGTAAAAATCCCGCAACATGGACACCACTGTACACATCTGTCTACATAAATATATATTTTCGCTGGTTTCAATATAATTAAACAGTGTCTGTTTACAGTCTGTAAGAGAAAGCACTATTTGTAGAAATATGGATTTTTGATATTATTTGATTTATTTGATTTATTTACTTTTACAATTTACATGGAAAAAAGTACTTTTTCTGTGATTTTATAAGTTATTATCTGTAACTTACAGAACAGCAAAATTCTGTAAAATTACTTTTTTCAATTTTTTTCTTTTTGTTTTTTTCATTCTCACCACTTTCAAATAATGACAAAAATATATTTAATAAAAATATTGTTATCTTTATCTGATTTAAATACAGCTAAACAGTGTAAATGTATAATATGATTGGAAATTATTAAACATAATATACTAATACTTGTAAAAACAGATTTTTGATATGGACACTATGTACAGATTTTTAATGGTCTAAATGTAAATTATTATTTTTTTCAGTGATGTTGCCTGTTATTATCTATAACTTTACAGTTAAAAAATTTAAAATAAAAGTTACATCAATGATTGACATTAAAGAACAAGCTACTATTATTATTATTTTTATTTTTTTTTACAATTTTTTTTTTTTTTTTTGATGTGGGCACACACTACAGTTTGGGCCTTGATTTTATTTTTTATAGATAACCTATACATCAATCTGTAATTTAACAAAACAGGTAAAATAAATAAATAAATAAATCTGTGAAACAATAGCAAATTGTTGATAAAAATGTGTCAAATTCTAAAAACAAACAAACAAAAAATATTGATTTTTTTTTTACAGTGTATATAAAGACATAGAAAAGTACTGATGTCTATAGCAGAGAATGGAGCCACACTCCTTCTGTGTGTGTTGTAATCTGAGCTTCTCTGTTCTATGTTTTGGCAGCCGGTCCAGCTGTGTCCAGTCGAGTAAAGGTTCTGTTTTCTTCCCTGAAAATGAAAATGGTGGCGGCTTCTGCAGTGGGAAAATGAACAATGGTTCGGCCTGTCCTAAAACTAGTGCAAGTTCCTGCAGCGGAAAACTGCCTAATGTTGTATATAGAACCTTTACAGAAGGAATAGTGCTTCTTTAGAGGCAACACTTAAAATGGGCCCAACAGGGGAACCATAAAATGCAAATGCTTCATAGAGAGATGACCTACGGTTGTTTTAATAATTTGTACCACTTTTAAGGTCGGCCTTTACAGCTCTGGAGAAATGTTTATGGCAGTAATGAAGGTTGGTGAAGCCAGCACACCATGCAGGCCGCCTGCTACGAGGTGTTCCAGCGTTTATGTCCACAATATTCCACTGATATTTGAAAACTAAACCCAGGGGCAGATACATAATCAAAAGACTGAGCAGAAATTGAGCTGTCAGCTGGGTCGGTGATAACCAAAAGTTTTACACGGTATTTCCTGGAGTTGGTTTTGTAATGCAAAGTCAAAGTCATCTCAGAAAACCATCAGGAATTCTGTCATTACACTGTAGATTTTATATGAGCATAAGCTGCACAACCAATAGCCCTCCAAGGACAAATAAAAATAAAATTTGAACTTGAAGTTGTTCGCTGTTTGTGGATCAGCTCCAGAATACCTTCTTGTCGGCAGGACAAACTGTGCAAGAGTTTTATTGATTCAATGGGAAAGGACAAACTATGACAAACGCTGGGTTTAGATGGGTTTTTCCTTTTCTGATTGATTCGATTGAAATACATTTAGCTGGATACAGTAGTTTCTTTCTTTCTTTTCCTCCTTTGTCCTGTTGATTAACGGAGTGATCTGCGCATTCAACAGCCTCTAAAGGTCACGCGCTGTGTTTTTATTCGTTGTATTTCTGACATGTGCGATTCTCAGAGCGGTTTTCTCCCATGCCGTTTATTGCGCGTATCATATCTCCCTCACTGTCTGCAAACAGAGAGATTTATGAATATCCTTTACAACGAAACCCGCCGCCATGTGAGAGTGACAGAAATATATAACACTTATTTCCTCGGAGGCTCGTATCAATGTGAATCCAGACGGCTGCGAGAGGTGAACGTAACCAATACACATGTAGCCGTCACACACGCACACATATAAATATATATAACAGAGAACCGACTGGTCTTTGTGTTAATAATGAACAGAGAAGACGTTTTCACGAGGACAGATTGTAAATCTATAAGGGAACGTAGAGTCTGAATCCAACCACCTCCCAAATGTCACGACTCTAGTAAAGCTTTTGATTTACCGACTGAATTGTATTCCAGTCACTTAGCTGGCAAAAGCCTGACGCTGAACGGTGGAATAGTGGGGATGACGGGTGAGAACAGCTAGCGGGTGACTGTGTGTCTGCATATAGGACAGCTGAAAAAAATATGTCTGAATTAAACTTTCGTCTGATGATATTCTTGTTTTTGGTGAGTTAAAAGGTGTGATCCGGACCATATCTTGGTTAATGTGACTTCTAAACAGGTTG